AGTGACTCAGCTGAATTAGGGATAGAAAAACAACCATGTAACAATAGTGGGTTCACATTGTGGTGTGTGGTGGTTGGTTGAATTATGTTTGTTATGATTTAAAACTATGTAGCTGATAATGTCTAATTGCTTTAAAAGGCCTTGTTTTTGGAATAAAGCAGCACCTTTGCACCTACCAGGGGACCCTGCATCACTATGGACCCTCACCTCACATCTAAGGACACCTTTCCTAGCCAGGGGATGCTGGAACATGCTCTGAGGGCTAAGAGATGGAGCAGCTCATGAGTACAACACCCCCAGGTGCTAATTTGGACTCTCACAGCCACCAAACTCTGTTTTCTCTTAGTCAAAAACCTCCCTGTGACAAACCTCCACTAACTGTCCTCTTGCTTCACCTGGAGAACCAGCAGGCAGGAAACCCCATGGTCCTTCTGGAGCTCCTGGCAAGGTGAGCTCCACCAGCGCCTATGGGAAGCAGAGATCTCCTGTGCCAATGCTGCTGATCCTCTGCACCCTCCCCTCTGCTAAGAGCAAGTCAAGTGACATTAGATTGCCTTGATCACACACCCAGGGGTGCTGCTCCAAACCTCTGTGCTTGAGGAACGAGCAACTACGCTGTGGGGCTTCAGAAGAAGGCTGGAAATCCTGGAAACATTGGAATTGAGATGCAGGGAAGAGGACAATGAGATAGAGGTGAATTGGCAGCTGGGGCTGACACTCCCAGCCCAAACTCAGAGGAGGAAGAGGGGCTGGCCTGAGCTCCCTGCTGCCAGTGGAGGAAGGTCACTGTGGTTGAGGCATGTCAAGAGAGTTGCCGTTCTCTATGACCACTAATGGTATTTGCAGCTCTGCATTTAAAAATGATGATAAAGGTGATCAAACTGTCAGGAACAAAGACAGATGGGGAGCTCCCTGGAGCCAGTGAGGGATTCCCTGCTTGCAGTGAGCAGCAGCCATTTATATTTCACTTGCACTATGGACTCAGAGCAGGGAGTGGGGCAGAAGTGCTTTGCAAAAACACGGTAGGAAGGAGCACACAGACACTGAATTTGTCTCTGCCTGTGCTTCTAGACCTTTTTATGCCATCTTTAGACATCACCAGGAAATACTGCAGGGGTTATAAATTTTTCCCAGGAAGTATTTTGATGAGCAGCAGTCCCTGATGGGATAACAACTGGTAACTTCCTGCAGCCAGGTGCATTCTTCCCTTCCTTGTCCTCCCTCTCAAGGCTTTGATGAGGTCCTGCTGCCAGGAACTGCAGCTCTTTAGATCTATCTGAGCTACGAGGTTCAAGGCTCTTTCAGAAATACAGTCTGCAAGAGCAGTGGTGGAGATGAAGGAAGGGGAGAGAGGTGTGAGGAGTCCCAGCTGCAGAGGCATTGACCTTGGCCTGCCAGCCAGATCCACAGCTCAGGTCTTTGATCCAGGCTGTGGATCCAGAGCTGGGGAGTGGAAACCTCTCTTGCTGTTCTCTGAGCTCTCCCTTTGTCATGACTATGGCACCCTCCTGTCTTCTGTCTTCAGATGTTGTCTCTTTTCTCCTCTTACCTTTGTGTGCTGTTGCTCCAGCCGTGGGGACAGCTGGCAGCCTTTCTTCCTTTGTGACACAGAGTCATCCAGCATGGGGCTGTGTCTGTGCTGACAGCACATCCATGCCGCCCTGTGTTCCAAGGATCGTGTTTGCTTTACTTCTGTGGATTAAAAAAAAAAGCCCCAAAACCCAGTAAGAAAACAGCCTTGCTCAGAAGAGTTCTAGCAGTTAATTCATTTCAACATTGCAAGGCCCACTGCCCAGCAGCTAAAAATCATCGTGTTTGAATGGTGAATTAAGTCAGCCAAGCAATAAATCTGAGCAACAAAACAGTCCCTTTAGCTCAGGGAAGTTCTCTTTCACCAAAACACTGAGAAATGGCTTTTTCTGAGAGCCCACAAGGTCATCGAATTAATAAAGCATTTCAAGTAATCTGTGGAAGTGAAGTGACACCCTGCTGCAAGAGATTTGCTGTTAAGGCCAACTTTCTGTAACAGAGTGTGATGCATATAGGATTTCCAAAGCAAACCTCTCCTCTGATTCAGGACAGTTGTCCAAACTCCTTCATGTCTGATTTGGTCCACTGTCTCCCTCCCTAGTCATTATTTAGGAGAGTTAAGCTTGAGAAAACTCACAAGAGAAAAGAAAAAATAAAGAAAGAAAACTTGTGATTCTCCCATTGACCAGGCAAGATACTTCTGAGTAATTTCATGCACTAAAGTGAAGACACCAAGGAGAGAAAGTGAGTGAAGTGCTGAAAATCTCTTGAGATAATGGTGGGACAGGCTCATGTGTTTTGCAGTGGCTGCTTTCCATTCCCCCACCATGTACAAATGCAAAGCTATCACGAGACTGCTGCACCCAGAACAACAGAGCTACTCCTTTGATATGAACAGCTCTGGTGTCAGGGGCATTTCCATCACCCAGCACAGACAGCAAGAATGTCCAAAGCCCAAGAAGCATCACTCAGACCTCCAGGCATTAAATAAACAAAAGGAGTTTGAATTCCAGTTAAATTCTGCCAGCTTAGGCCAAACACAGAAGGATCTCTCCAGGCAAGTCAGGCACATGGAGCCAAGCATGGTTTGTGTTGGCCTCCAGTTCCTGCCCTGCCTGCTTGGGGTGGCCCTGATTCGGGCTGCAGATGCAGCAGCAGCAGGCACAGAAAGGATGAGATGGGTGATGCATTAAGAGATGCTTTGTGGCAGATATTAGGGAAACCTTTCCAGTAGTCTGGAGGGTTTAGCAGGAGAACAGATTGCCTGGGAAATGCGACGTCTCTGCCAGCAGCTGTTACACAGCCAGGATGGACATCTGTGGCTGACAACACAGCCTAGGTGGCCTCTCATGCTCCCTTCAGATCCACTGTTCTCAGTGTCCTGATCTTTAGAGGAACAGAAAGTAGGATGGGACAGAATTTTCACTTTCAGCTCTTGCAGATGGCCCATAACAGTCTTATAGAGAGCAGGGAGCTCTCCTTATAGGAAGGCAGGAGGAACTCCACCCAGTTATCTCCAACCCCTTCAGGGGAAGTTTGTGGCATGGCAGCCTCTGCCTTGCACTTAGAGCTATGTTCCTTCACTTTCCACTGAAATGGCTTTTTGCACGTTTGTAGAACCATTTAACATGAAATATATACTTAATAATACTGTAGCACAAAGAGGCACTGAATAGGGCAAACATACAGAAGAGATGGCAGTAGCCTCTGCAATGTTGTGTCCACTGGGTCCCTTTTCCATGAAATCCTAGCCCAGCTTCCATTTGCTTGGGCTCACTCAGTACAAACCTCTTCAGAGAGCGTCCAGTCACAGAGCTGTGCCCTCCCAGTGCCACCACAGCTCACAGTGACCGTGCTGCTGCAGGCAGCCGAATGCAGGGATGCTCATCCCTCTGCAGCCCCTGGCAGCGCTGACATCCAAGCCCTGAAGCACACAGAAGTGGCTCCAGCCTCTGCACACTCATTGCCATGCAGCAGGACCCCCAGATCCCATCTGGATGGACATATGTGCATGTGTGCACATCCCCACTGCTGGAGACGTCCCTGAGCAGCCGTAACGCTCGAGTGGGTGGTTTGAGTTTGGGGCAACAGAGGATTTTTCTCCCATTAAATAAATAAAAGACGTTCAGAGCAACTTGGGATAAAGCCATTCTAATCCTTTTATTCTTTCCAAAAGGAAAATTATTCCATATTCAGGGCACTGTGCAAACAATTAATTAGCCTAACGCAAATGAAAGGCCTAATTGCTCAGCATTACTGTGCTCATTGGCAGCCAGGCATGACCAAAGAATAGGTACTGTTTTACCAGGGATAAAGAACAACTTCCCAGCTTTTAGGGCTTTTTTGATATTTCAGCATCTAGCAGAATGATTTTTTTTTTTTTGAATGATGGTGTAATTCTCACTTCCACATGCAAAAAAGCTGGCAGTATTTGGAGACATCTGAATGAGCTGCTATCCAATTAAAAAAGGAGAGGAAAGAGACTCAGCTGGCATGAAGTGACCTGGCTGAAGGGAAGTCGATAAAGCTGTAACTTGCCTGAGCTGAACGACACTGTGGTGTCTCCAGCTGGAGACTTCACTGACAGAAGTGCTGCAACATTAAGGAAAAAATGTATTTTTTAAGGCATGCACCTAAAATTAAAGTACAATCATCCTTAATGCAGCTCCCTTTTCAATGATCTGTTGTTACCAGATGGAAAAGTGCTCTAAATAGATGCAGATGAATTTGTTCACTGTGGATAGGATCATGAGGGATCAGGTTACAGGAGCTTTAAAAAACTGAACTGTTATCATTAATGCATCTCTCACAACAAGGAGATAGAAAGCAGATGCTGACTGGGTATTGACCTAGCCTGAGGAGTATGGGTCCAATAATTCTTCCTTTAGGCAGCTGATTCTCATGGGAAAATCCCCAAATATTCAGCTGTAATGCCATTATCTGCCTTGTGCAGAGACTGGCAACCAGAGACTCTTCTTTAAAAGCAATCTGGGTGAATTCTGCTCCCATTCACGCTTGCACACCCCCATGGAAGGCACTACAGAGGGCTTCTCAGCAAGGTGGATTTTTGGTGTTTGGGGTGAGGGATTACAAAAAGAAAGGTGCTTACAATACAGAATAGTACCAGCATGTGAAAAAGGTAAGAACAAATAAAACAGATTCATGGGTGAAGGTCACACACACAATGTGAAACAAAGAAGTAAAAGTTTGAGGGCCTTCCTGAAACCATTTCAGGTCTGTACCTGTTTGTACAAGCAGCTGGGAACAATTATTAGATGCTGTTGAAGACTGTGAGACCAAAAAAAAAAGATCCAAAGATGTCCTAGCAGGAATGGTCCTTCAGATGACTGAATATCCCAATAACCTCTGTCAGGCTGATTAACAACATTCTGCTGAGCTCAATGCAGCTGCTACATAACCTTAGAGAGACAGGCACTCCTCACTTGTAGAACAGAAAATTCCAGCAGAACAAGGTTTTTCTTTTCAATTTATTTTGCAAATCTACCAATTCCTTTTATGAAAGTATGAAATCCTATGTGGTTACATTAAACAGTTACATTACAATCCAGGTAATACAAATAATCACTACAAAGTTAGTTTTAGGTACTCTTGGATAACAAGTAGATTTTATATTTTTTTAAAATAAGTCACAGAGATAGAATAGCCTTCTGATTGTCAGAGACTTTAGTTTAAAGCAAGGAAACCACTATAGATTCTCCTCATCCTACAAAAAGTTAAGAGAGAAACACTTTCCATGTTAATTTTCAATTAGATTCATCAAAGACATTAAGTGCACGCATCTGCTCTCAGGGTAACAAGAATAGTTCACAAGTGTTTGGAAACTGGTGTCAAATTTCATTCTCTGGATATCACTTTTACCATTTAACATCACCTTCATCCTTGCTTTCAGATACATAAAAATCCTGTAAAATGCACAGAGCTCCAAATCCTCTCTAATTGAATTCAGTGGGAGTAGGATCGGTTCCTCCATTCAGAAGGTGCTCCTGATATACTGAAATCCTTATAAAACAACCTCCTTCCCAGGAATGAAATCCATGTAAGGAACAAAATACTGTAGTAATTCAGGAAAACCCTCAGCTGTGCTATCCAGCAATTGACTCAGCAACTGCATTTCTGAGGACCTTTATGCATGGTCACTCTTTCCTCTCAACCAGCAATAGGATGTATGAAGACACCAGGTGACTGCTCAGTCAGAACTTGGAGCTGTGTAAATAAAGTATAAAAATCAAAAAAGAGATCAAATCAGTCTTGAAACAGCTCTCCTGTCACTCATCTGACACACCTCCAGTGTCATTCTGCTGCCACTTCTGATGTGACATCTGTCAATCATAACTGCTTCTTAGCAAGCAATAAACAGTTTAGATTTTGTAGTGGCATCTCTCACTGTGTGTGTGTTTAGGGGTAACACATCCATATGTTGCACATTATGCAAACGTTCCAGAGAAGCAAGGAGAGCTGTTTATAAGGAAATAAGGCAGGTGCAGGTACATTCTGATGGCCTGTGGCACAAAGGAGATTAAAGCAAATAATTTTCTCTTGTAGCCTTCACCTCTTTCAACCAGTGGGTTGTAAACTCTCAAATCTCCCCTCACACATGTGCAACAAACCTGCAGAACCCATTGTAGCACAGAAGTGAAGCCAGCAGCTTTCTTCTTCTAAGAGAAATAGATATTTATCCACAGAGTATCTTTTAACACTGATAACCTCAAAAAAGAAGCCAGACAGGTTACACAAAACTATACAAAATTTTCACCTGGACATAAAGTGCCATCAAACTATGGAAGCAAAAAAAGAAGTCACTGTTGAGGCATCTACTCAGGTTTATTCTCCTGAAACAGACAAAGTTTGCTACAGTCTTGGAAATGGCACCAAGCTGGTGGGAATGTTGCTGTAATAAAGGCTAGCAATTTCCTTCCTGACTAACATTACTCTTACCTGACAGGCCAAAGGCAACTAGGGTGGTTTAACTGGTGGCTGACTGCAGGAATTTCCCCAGAAGGGAGTTTAAAATGGTAAGAGATGCTGTCATTTCCCTGTCTCTGATATGGTAACTATAATTCATTCAGCCCCTTCTTTCTGAGCATGCATTACCACAGACAGCCCCACCCTGCTATTACCACCGTGCCTGCTTGTTTTCCACCTCTACTCATGTAAATGTAATGTCAAATCCTCTTAAGAATCCTGAGCAGCCCTCCAGAATCACTTGTTCAACTGACATTTCTGTAATAATAAGGAAAGAAAAAAGAGTTGTGTGAAATTAAATGGCACTCCTGTTGCCAAGCTGTTAAAATTATATGGCAATATGCTTCCAGTAGTTGTAAGAAATTAATATGTGGAGTGCTTACAAGCTTTACATCTACTAAATCTCAACAGGATATAAAATGCTATTTAAGTGATACAAATGTTAAGGAGAAAAAAAAACCAGCACCAAAGAGTGGAAGAAGGAAGTAGATTCTTGTCCTCACTCTGATTCCTGGAGGCTGAGGAAGCCAGGTGGGAGATCCCTGGTGAAGGACTTGTGCACATATGCCAGCAGCTGCAGCTCCCTTCTGCCACCTCTGCAGCACACAGGCTGGGCCCTACCAGTGAGTCACTCCCCTCCTGCAAAGAGTGGCTGGCAAAGAGCTCAGCCAGCTCCCACTCCCTCTGCCACTGCCTTCTGACAGCACCAGCCAGAGCAGAGCCACTCAGTGTCACTGCTTTTCACCTGCTTTATTTTAATGCTGTTCAGGAAGATGTGCCTGAGACACCTGTCTGTAGATGATGAATTCATTTCTCAGTTTTGCCACGATGTGATTACTGTCATCCTTTCCTCACCACAACATCAAATACAATATAAAACTTTGGATTTTCTATAGTGAGTGAAATCAGCATCATGAAAAGCCAGGCAGTGCCAGAAGTGCTGCCACTGCTGCGTTCTGTGGGACAGGACCAGGGTAAGGCGCTTTGGCAATCAGCACCACGTTTAAACAACAAGCTTTTAAAATACCCACAAATTTCCTGCAGATGCACAGAAAACTCGAGACCTCCTGGTTTCTTTAAGCTGCTTTGAAACTGCAACAATTCATTTAATCCAGCAGCAGATCCTGGCACTATCCTTTTCTAAGTACAGTACATTTTGATAGCAACACAAGCATGTGACACGAAACAGATTTGTTCAAGCTCACCGTGGTTCTGATGGGCTACACACACCAAGGGGCAACTCAAAAAGAGCACAGAACTCAATTCATCAGGACAACACCACTGACTCAAAGGAATTTCAGCTCAACTTTGTGAATAAAGAAGGAGCTCACAAAGGAAAAGTTCTTATTGCAAGTTGTACTGCTCAGCTTGGTCACTTCTCACACAGATCTGAAGTATCAAAAGCTACCAAGGAGCCAAGGACAAAGAATTCCTGTTTTGTAACTATTTTAAATACAGCAAACCTGCTTGAAAAAGAAAAGCCCCCTCACAATATTCTAAACGGCCTTTTTGAGCAGACTGCAATTGTTAAATCAACACAGACAGAAAATACACACTTCAAACCACTTCTGGCACCTCGCAATTTGGAAAACTCTCGTGCACATGGGATGAGGCAGCTTGTTTGCAGACCCTTTTCTCACAGAGCCCTTGGACGGCCCGAGCTGTGGCTCAGCAGGTGCCCTCCTCAGCAGGCACAGAGTGGCAGCTGCCGTGGGACACGGTGTCGATGCCGTGGCCCTGGCCCTGGGGGTGGATGGACACCTGCACGGCGATCTCCTGGCCCTGCTCGCTCAGGGAGCCGTCGTCCGAGTCGCCGGCCGGGGAATGGCTGCGCTTGACGGGGGCGCTGCCGGGGAACAGCGCGGCCGGCGCCCCGCAGCCCGGGGGCGGCTTCTCCTCCCTGCCCACCTCGTCGGGGTCGTCCACCCGCACGGCCTCGAAGATCTCCTCCATGAAGGCCCTGCAGTTCAGGATCAGAGGAGGGAGGGGAATGCTCCTGGCGAGCTCTTCGATGTAGCGAGCAAACTCCATGGTCTTAAACTGAGTGACTTTGGCCAGCTCGAGCGTTTTGGCGGACGTGATGATGGGGATGCGCTTGGCTATCTCGAAAGCTTTCTGCAGCTTCTCGGCCCCTTCCGTGCGGAAGAACTCGTTGATGGCCTTCTCCGTCTTGCGGAGGTGGCTGCTCATCATGCACAGGCGGGTGATGTTCAAAATGAGCGTGATGGCAAAGGCAACGAGGCACACGATCATGTAGTAGATGCTCATGTCCCCTGAGGTGAAGATAACCCTCAGGGTGACTGTGTAGTATAAGGTCTCGTTCTGATTAATGCCTGCACACGTGTACCGGCCCCGGTCGGCAAAGCTGACCTTTGTGATGTTGAGGGAATGATCAGCAATCCTCCACCGGTCATCTGCAGAGGGGCAAGAAATAAACAGAGCTTGAGAAACAAAAATCTCAGGGTAAACATCATCAGGAGTCAAAGCTTGGCAGTGAGCAGCCACCTCCGCACAATAAAAGTACACCAAGGACTGAAATGTCCTTTTCATGCCTGTGACACAGAAAGCCATAACCCACTTACCCCTCAGACTGCTTAATGGTAAATTATTCTGCATGCTTGCTACACTACTTTTACTTCCTTCTCTCATCTACACTTTCCAGTGTGCTTCTGGTTCTTTCTGATAGGGATCCTAATTCTTAACTAGGGCTTCTCACCCTGTGTTAAAAGACTGTCCTCTATAAAGTCCAATTTTCCATACATTTAGAGTCAAAAGTCAAGCGACCCATGAAAAAGATCAGTCTGTAAATGGCTCTGCTGGCAAAAGAACCCAGAATTTTCTTGAGACAGTATTCTGCTGAGCATGCAGTGCTGACATGCAAAACCCAAGTAAAAGAGAAATCAATACAAGAAGCTTTATACAGCATTTGCTGTGCATTTATAACTTAGGGGGAAAACTGTTTTCATAACTCATTCCTTCTAATTACTCTGCTTTGAACTGTTTTCATAACTTATTCTTCTAATTACTCTACTTTGAACTAATCTCCAGATGGCATTATAACTACAAAAAGGTTACTGAATACTTAAGGCAGAAAGATGGCCTCCAACAAGATCCTATCAATTAGTTCAATGACCTTCATTAATACTAATAAAGAAAAACACATGTATCTCTAAAACATTTTTTTAAATTAAAACATGCAGGGATAGAACTACAAGAGCCAATGGCTAGGAAAATATATTCCCCTTCAGTTCAAAAGGGTTAAATAGCATGAATTCCATCGTTGGCCAACACATGTTGTGTTACTTTCCACAGTCTCACTGGTGCATAAACCAAAAAATAAATGTACTAAGTATGTTTTAAAACATATCCTGTAACAAAATTAAAGCACCAACTGCCAGCTCAAAAGGCTGCAAGTTGTGGAGAACTGTGTTTAACTCACGCATTTGGAAAAATATCATTTCAATCAGAGCAATAACAGATAAACTCATCAGTTAGTATTGGCTAAGATGAAGGCTCATTTCTTCTGTATAGAACACTGGGATGACTCTTGAACAACATCATTCTGTGGGGCACCAAAGCAGGATGGAGCAGAAGTGCTCAGGTGTAATTCCCATGCAGCATTTCAGAGGGCAAAGGACTTTGTTTTGCTCTCTTCTTGTCTTCCAATTGTATTAACAGGAGGATAGGAAGAGAAAATTATAATAAAGTCCCAGGGTTTTCCAATACTGTTTAAAAGAAGAATAATGATGGATAGAAAACATCAGGAAAACTCACCTTCATCTTTCTGTTCAAGCAGGTGTCCTCTGGAGTTATACCAAAGGATATGTTCATACTGGCTGATGTTCAGTTTACATTCAATTAAAATACTGCTCCCCTCTTTGGCTATGATATCATGGTGTGCTGGAGAACTTATTAAAGCTTGAGACACTGCATGAAGTGATGCATTGAAAGACCTAAAAGCAACTGTCCTGTTAAAAGCTACATTTTCCACTGTGAATCCAGCTGAAAGACCAGCACTAACAGTCAAAATTAACAGGCAATAGCTGAGCTTCATGGAAAGTGAGTGAAAATTCTTCTTTCATTTAATTTGGAGAAATGAGGTCATATGATATTAAGCTGTCTGTATTGCTCTGAGATAGCAGAGGAGCTCTTGATTTGTTCTGTGATGGAAAATGCCTGGGTTCCAAGTGCACTTTCAAGACCATCAATATTTGAAGTGGAAACTGGAAGTAAAACTGGAAAAAAAAAAGGCAATAAGTTTATTAATGACCACATGGCTACCATGTATTCAAATTTAATTTCCAATAAACAGATTTCAAATATCATAATATAAACTGTCAGCTGAGAGGTTCCAAATCAGAGCTTTGCTCAGAACACAGTGATAAAATGAGGGTAAGAAGGCATTAGCACAACCTCCAGTCCACTAGATGTTCATCTTCCCAACCAAATAAATAATCTCTGGAACAATAATCATTAAGGGGGAAAAGGTTTTACAAAAAGAACAAATTGTTCAGACTACTCGAAATGCACAATTATCTTTAAAAGTGGGTTCTGCATTTGTAACCAGAGAAAAAGTGCTTTCTTAATAGAGGAAGAAAAGCAAGAAAGAGGATGTAATTTCTGCCTGCCTCTCCACCAATATCAAAGTGCTTTTAAGCCCTGGTTTTCTAAAGCCAGACTTTCATTTACTACCCAAAGAAAAACCAAAGTGCACACACACACACCTGATTTTTGGCATTTACATCTACTTACTTGATTTTAGGGGCACAATTGATATTAGATGTCTAAATATTATATAATATGGTTTAATTACTTGGGAAAAGTCTCTTGGTTGTTATCTACAGCCAGAAGAGGAAGTCCCTTTCTGAACAGCAGGACACTGATGTCTACACATATTTCCTTTTTTGCAATATCTCTTGTTGCTGCTGCAGTTTCTAAGTCTGCTCCTTGTTATTCTTGTTTGTTTTACAATGAGCTCCTGTTGAAAATCTTTTAGTTTATGCTGCTTCATCTCAGCAGTCATATATTCTTCATTGTCTTCTCCACCCAAACTTCATAGAAATGTGAAAAATTGTTTTGTCTAGGGACAGATACTCTTCAAATTAATGTGCACAAAAGATATTTTAAGACATTAGGATACAACAAATTTTCTGTGTTTTGCACACAAGCCAGAATAAAACCAACTTGTAACAAAATGAGATGACACTGATAAAAGACAATCTGTAATCAATTTTCCTGGAAGCCTGATTCAAGAAAATTTCTAATCCAATATGTGTTCCCTGAAGTTATGACTCCATCCAGACAGATCCAGAGCCTCAAAAAAAAACATTTATGAAGTACAGAAGCCACAAGCTCAAATATTATCCTAAAAAATATCTCACTTCATGTCATTGACTGTGTGACTTCCAATTTATCATCTTTTCTTCTACAAATAACAGATGTTAGTGGAAGGGAATTTCATAAATATCACAACACAAAGAGACCCATTTACTTAATAAATAATGCAGACACTTTTCATCCTTCTAGAATTACCAGTCAACACTATCTAAAGCACTTCTGAAAAATAATGTAACATGCATAAAACCAGGTGATTTCTAGCAATTGTCTTTCATCAGAGACAAACTAAGCATATTCAAAAGGGGGAATTCTGCTGATGCTATCCATACTGGGAATTTTTTTCAGTGAAAGTGAATTTGTCGAAGGTCAAACCAGATTCCAGACTTGACATCTGGAAATGAGAAATGTGTTGACATCTCTGATGAGAAATGTGTTATCTGACCCATTTCCATTTCTGTTGTGGCTATTGCCAAAGCCAGTTTAACAAAGGAGGCAAAGAAGACAGCTGTGTCCAACTCTCCTTCAAGCTTGACTAACCAACTCACCCACTGAATCCTGCAAGAGAAACTGGAAAACAGGCTCCCTACTTGTTTCTCTGTAAACAGCAATCCCTTCATCTGCCTTTTTTTTTTTTTTTAAATCATTGGCCCCACTCTGTTTTCTATCATGCCTCTTGTCCTTTCATTTAAGATGAGACTAGTGCAGAGAACTCAATTATACCATTGTGCTGGAGGAGCGACTTTCCCACAGCTAAACAGTTAAAACCACTACCAAGGCCTCTTTTATTCCTGTTTTTCACCAGCTACACTTTAGGGAAAGCATTACTGAGTCCTGCTGCCTCTGAAGAAGAGCATCACATCCACAGCAACAGCACAGGTCTGAAAAAAAAATACTAAGGCTGCTGTTGATCAGCAACTATTCTTCTGTTTGAAGGAGTGGTTTTAACCTTCCATTTTTAGACCTCTGGTATTTTCAGAGTGTTTCAGAGCCTGCAAAAGGCTGCTGACACTGACCTGCTTGTTTTGGCAACCTTACACAACCCCACACGGACAGGCTGTGGACTGGAGTGGTTTGTGGACCACTGACAACATCACCCTATGACCCAGCTGCCTTCAGCTAAAAATGCACTTTTGCATGCATCAGACTTGACCTCACAGTGCCTGATGCAATTAAAACAGACCACAGATCTGCAGCAAACACAAACCCTCATCTTCACCCTTGAATCACGGGCACATTATAACTTCCAGTCTTCTAAAACAATAACAACCCAACTGATACTTTAGATTTATTAGAGAATAATCCCAGTGCCTCTTGTACTTTGCCTGTGCAATTGTAATTTTAAATTATTAGATTTGAATTGTTAAGGTTTCCAAGCGTCTCTGACGTCTGTTCCTAAATGACATTAGGAATCTCACTCATTTATTTAACACAAGAAATACTCAGCAACATTTTCCTTCATAAGAATAATTATCTTCAGTAATTGCATATGCTCTCCACTATCCTTGCACTGAGCCTGCATAATGCATAAACCATTGGTGATGGGTCATTTAATTTTACTATTAAATTCTTTGAGGTCTGATTTATTAGAAATTGTTTGTCTTTTGGAAAAGCCATTATTGCTAAGCAGACAATGATCTCTCACTATCGAGTGCTGGGAACAATAAAATGATTTGCAAAATCCGTATTCTTCATGCACTGCACTTATGCAAAACAGCTGCTAAAGGACCCAAAAAGGATAAAGCGTGATCAGTGCCAACATCACAATTCTTCAACAAAGTGTTAAGCTCAATCAAGATGAAATGTGCCAGAATAGAAACTGGCTATTTTACAACTGAACCTGAAGCTGAACTCAACACATTTAACCTTTATTAAACCATAAGTTGTAACAACAAATAGCAGTGGAAAGATAAAAATCTGTGATGCATGTGCTCGTATGAGTCATCCTTGGCTCCTACCCTGAAGAAGTGTATTTGTGTCTAACTTAGAGCACTCTAAGTAGTCCCACCGAGGTCAGTGGAAGCACTGATAGTACTTAAAATTACACACATTTATATGGCACTGCAAAATTGGGGCCCAAGAGGTTGCAAGTTATATGGTTTTACATCCACTGCTTATAACATCACTTCATACCTGGAGTAACGTGAGGCAATAAACCGAGACACACCTGACAGAGCATAGGCTGCTGATGTCTTGCAGAAATACCATTTGCAAGCCCCCTCTGACCCTCTGTCAAAGAGAGAGATGCATCAGGGAGACGCATTTGGCAGAGCCCTGCAGCCAGGAACTCTTGGGAAGTTGATGAACACAGCCAGCACGGTGTTGACAGGAGCCGTGTTGACAAGAGCCTGTTGCTGCAGGGGAATGGCAGCACCACGGCCCAAAAACCAACCTAAGGGGCAAACCCACAGCACCCCAGGGCCAGCCTCACTGCTGCCTGATGGGATTTGTTGTTTTCCCGTGCACATCCTTTGGCTGCCTGACAGGACACGGTGTTTTGCTGTGCTTATCCCTTGGCTGTCTGTCACAGGCTAACTTGCCAGGACACAGCATTAGCTGTGTGCCAAAATAGGTTTTTTTGTCCTGTCAGCTAAAAACGACCAGGCACAAAGTTTCACTTAACACCACCCTGTCCTCACAGCCCCAGTTCACTCGAGGAAAAGCCCTGGTGCCAGCTGGTGGTGGCAGTGGGACACAGGACATGCGACATGACCGCACTGCAGCCGAGGGCACCGGGACACGGGGGTGACATCACGCGGGCTGGTGTCACTGGGGCATGACATCACGCCAGAAACACAAACAGAATATTCTGAGCTGGAAGAAAACCACAAGGATCATCCAGTGCAACTCCTGGCCCTGCTCAGGACACCCCAACAGTCCCAGCCCGTGCCGGGCAGCGCTGTCCAAACGCCCCTGGAGCTCGGGCAGCCTCGGGCCCTGCCCATGCCTTGGGGAGCCCGGGCAGCGCCCAGCACGCTCTGGGGGAAGAACCTTTCCCTGATACCCAACCTAAACCTCCCCTGACACAGCTCCGGCCGTTCCCTGGGTGCTGTCACTGTCACACAGAGCAGGGATCCGAGCTGTCCCTCCGCTGCCCCTCGGGAGGAGCTGCAGACCCCGATGAGCTCTGCCCTCGGTCTCCCGTCCTCCGACCTGACCAGACGAAGTGACCTCAGCCGCTCCTCCTGTGGCTTCCCCTCGAGGCCCTCCGCCGCCTTCGCTGCCCTCCAAACCTGCCCCTACTGCCCCAATTTCCACGCCGAAACAGCGAGGCGGGACATGGCTCCGCAGCCTCCCCCTCCGTCGCTGCCCTCCGACCCCGATCTTGCCCGGTGAACCTGGCGGTACCGCCGCTCTCACCGGGACGAGGCTGCCCGGCCCGGCCTGGCCCGTCCCCGCAGCTCCGCCGCCGCCGCCGGCCCCGCCGCCCGGACGCGCTTCCCCGAGCCGAGGCCGCTTCCGGGGCAGCGCCGGGGCCGCTCTGCGCCGGCCTCGCTGCTCTCGGTCCGCCCGGAGCCGCGGGGGCCGCGCCGACCGCCGACGGTGAGGGACGGCACCGGGTCCGGGGCTCTGCGGGGCACAGCGAGCCCCGCGGGGAAACGGGCGTTGGGGACCGCTGCGGGGCAGGCGGGGCCACGGCGGGGTGGTGCGGGCACCTGGCGGGCTCCTTGTGCGGCAGAGTCCCACGGGGAGGCACAGGGATCCCGCGGTGCCATATGGAGCAGCCCCGTGTGGCAGTGATGGGACTATGGGGGTCTCCCGGGGAAGCGGAGGCACAGGGAGGCCTCCAGGGCTGTGGGGTGAGGAGGGTGCCGGGGGTGACCCGGGGGTCCCGGCAGATGGGGTGACCCGGAGTGTCGCTTTGTTTGAGGCCATCGCAGCCCCGTGGCGGGGGCAGCTGCCCCGATTGCATCAGTGAGCAGGGGACACAGCAGTGTCACCCCGCTGTGAGCCCGGGGGGTCTCGGCTTGTCGCTGCCTGGCCCCGCAAGGCCCTTGAACCGCAGGTGCTGCCAGAGGAGCCCGGACAGGTGACACTGGGGCCCCGCTCCCGGCTCCCCGACCCCGCGCCGCGGGGCTGGGGCGGCTGCTGGGGCGGCTGGAGCTCAGCGCAGCTCCTGGGGCTGTTCGTGCTCATGCCCAGGTACCGGAGTGACCCAGCCGCTGCCTCCCTGCCTGCTCAGCTCTCTGACCGCTGTCCCCATTTGTCTCCTACACGCCTCAAGCCATCCCAGCCATCCCAAGCAATGGGAGTTTTCACTTTTATTTTGGTGGGACATGTATTTATTTCATTATCTGAGTCCCTTTTGTACCTTCATTTGTTTTTTTAGAGTTAGCAAACTGGTTTATTTTGCTATGGAGAGGGTGTGTCAGTTAGATAAAGCCACGTGTCCCTGTGGGACTTTAAACTTCCAAGTATGCTATTTTTGAGTCAGACGTAATTTGGTGTACACACATGTGGGTACATGTGGCAACACTGTTGTGTTTAATTATTTAAAACACCAACGTGATGCTCTTGAACTAATGTCAAAGTGCGAGGGAGGGATTATTTTATTTGCTTTGCTTTCTGTGGATGTTTGTAGTCATGTCTGAGGAAGACGGGGGTGAAAATCTGAAAGATGAAACCTCTTACAAAGATGAAAATGAACAGAAGACAGAGGAACTTGGCTGCTCTGAGAGCAGTGAAGGGAGACAGCAAGAGACTGTTGTGCCTGTGACTCGAAAAAGACCTGAACCCAAGCCCCCAAGCCAGCCTGCTGCCACAGAAAAGCCTGCAGGTGAAACCATCAAGGTAAGTTCCTGTGCTTGCTCAGAAAGATGGGACTTCACATTTCATGGCTTTGAGCACAGGAGAACTCTGAGCATAAGCCCCACTCCTTTCTGAAAATTCACATTGCTGTTCTCTGAAATGAAAAAGCTGCACAAAAGTCACAAGTCACAGTCTGCTTGTGTTCCTTTCCTCACCATAATGCCTGCATCAGTCTTCTGTTTTTCTTCATTAAAGGTCTCAGATCCTCCTGCAGTTCAGACAGGGTGGGGCTACTGGGGAAGCTGGGGGAAATCTCTTCTGTCAACTGCATCTGCTACCGTAGCTACTGTAGGTAAGGCTCTTTCTGGTATTTGATAAATATTTTAATCATGTTTTGTGTCTCAAGCTGGTGCTTTAGAACTTGTTTCTGGAGAAGAGGATTTCAGTTATAGCAGCCATTATTGGAAAAATGTCAAGAGAATTGTTCAAGTAATGGGAAAAGCTTGTACCAAAAGGTACAGTGAGATTAAGGAGATATGCACAGCCAGAATTACTTTCAGGTTTTTAAGGCGTTTGTGTAATTTTCACTTGGTATTTTAAACCAGTATTCTGCCAGTATTTACAACTTTATTTAAAAGCTAAGATGAAACCGTGGTTCATTATATTGGTAGGTGAGGTGGATAGAAGGAGGTTTTTATGCTGGTTAAACTGTTTTGAACAGAAGGAATCCAGAATAATAAAAAAGAATATGCAGCTCTAATCCTGTTTTTGTTCTGATTTCTGTCTTCTCTAGGTCAAGGTATTTCAAATGTCATAGAAAAAGCAGAAACAACCCTTGGGATCCCCAGTCCTAGTGAAATCTCGTCAGAGTCTAAAGATGGTGCAGGAGGTCAGTTTTGTACTGCAGAAGAACAACCCTGCAATGTTTTTCACAACATAATGAGCCCCAAAATAACATCACCTTACTCTGCACCTTGCGCCTTGAGACTGATAATAAAATCATTTAAATTGTACTCTCTTGCTTAGTTCTGCTAGCTCTGAAGGGAGGAACATAATCTGAATTTTAGGCTTGCTCCTAGCTGATATTTGGTGTCTGTTGATTTTCTCCACTCTGTGGCTGACAGGATCTTTTTTCTTTGGAAGTCAGGAAGTTAATTTTCTGCCTTCTAATGCAGGAAGTGAGAATCCTGCTGCCAGCAACGCTGATGCAGCTGATGATGGCAGCTCCTTCCCTATTGCTGGGGCTCTTGAAGTTTTATCAACCATCTCTACTGCTGTCCAAAGCACAGTGAGTGAGTTGGGAATGCAGGAGAAAATGGGTTTAAGGGAGCTTTGGGGTTTTGGCCTTTGATCTGAAACATTGTAAGAAGAAATTTAATTTTGACATTTGTGGGATGCATGGTGATAAACTCTTCCAACCTTCAGAAAACCATTATCTTGGGCCTTGTTTCTAACTGACACCCCATGTGAAAGATGTTATGAATTTTGATAGTTCTGTATTGAATGTTGGTACATAACAAAAAAATCCTAATGGTGGATTGTGCAGAGCGTGCATTTCTGTGCATGTCACCTCTGTACTCTGTCATCTCTGCCTTTCCTTTGGAGTAGTCAGCTAAATGCAGGGTCAGACTCATTCCTGGAGTATTTCCACTGATTTCCACAGAACTAGAGATGAAATTCATTCTCCTCTTCAAAAAACCTATGTGAAACTAGCGTGGTTTGCTTGGAAATCAGCTTGCTCCTGTGACCAGGAGAAATGCACTTCAAAGGAAGCCATTACCCTTAGAAACTGCTTTTGTGATCTGCTGTCTTGTCAATTTGCCTGGGAATCTGAAAGAGCTGCAGATGGAAAGCTGGCTTCTGTTTTTTGCTTTTAAGGCTCAAACAAAAGTTAGCAGTCAAAATCCACAGGTCTGGTGTTTTCTCATTGGAAGGATGAGAACTGAATTCTGTAATGTGCTGAGACCCAGCTTGTTCACAAACTAAAAAAATGTATTTCCCATCAGATTGCTGCAGCTGTCTGGGTGCTGTAATAAGCTGTTGGGTGATAATGTGTTGTGGCTCTTTCCGTGTCCTGCTGCTCTCTTTGTGATGATTAGGGTTGAATTTAGGGTGACAAGGACCAATTTGGCTTTTATGTGAGTGCACAGTGTAAGATTGCTGATAAAACCCTCCCAATTCAATTTCTTCCATTGGGTAATTTTCTCTGAGTTTTATGTGCTGTCTTTATCCAAATCTGTTTCCTAGGGTAAAAGTGTTATTAGTGGAGGTCTGGATGCCTTGGAATTCATTGGCAAAAAGACAATGGATGTAATAGCTGAGGGTGACCCTGGATTCAAAAAAACAAAGGGCCTCATAAACAGAACCTCTACATTATCTCAGGTACAGCACTTCTCTATCAGCACCTCATTGGTTTCTCTCCTCCCTTTCTCCCTTCTTTTGTGGTCCTATCATTAAGCAACCATTTTTTGCTATTGAGCCAAAAGCCTTCTCCTCTGTATTCTCTATCTCCTGGCACTGTCACGAGGCCTCTGCTTTTCTTTTTCAGGTCTTAAGAGAAGCAAAGGAGAAAGAAGAGCAGCAGACAGCTACCGAGGTTACCATGGCTACTGAGAAGAAAGCCCATTATGGGTTACTGTTTGATGAGTTTCAGGGTCTTTCGCATCTGGAGGCCTTAGAGATGCTTTCCAGAGAGAGTGAATCAAAGGTAATGGCCTTGAGCATTTTGCTTTCTATTTTGAGTTCAGCTGAGCAGGGGAAAAAAAGATTAGAAATATATGTATATACATGTAAAATCAAATGCTCAGAACTTGCGGTAGAATGATTACAGAACTTTACTTTGATCCTTGCATTAGGATCTGGTGTTTACCTTGGGAGCAGTTTGTCCTGTCCTCAGCTCCTAAAGCCATTCCCAGCCTCAGTTCCTGCAGTTCAGTTCCTCCAACTTCTCACAAGTTACTCTCCTCACACCTGCTGCTTTGCTGCCTTGGCCGGTATTTTCCATCCTGTTGGATGGATTTATTGATTCTCTCCTTGGCTGTGCTGCCCTTAACCAGGTGAAAGCAGTTCTGAATGCCCTCTCTGGAGAGAAGTTGGACACACTGAAGGAGGAAATGGAACAACTCAAAGAAGCATTTTCTTTGCCTGAATTCTTTGAAGAAGAAGAGGAAGAAAAGAAGGGTAAGAAAGCCCCAGGTTCTGAGAAGAGAAGCTGGTCCTAGTGCAGAACCAGCCAGCCCTGATCAGTGGCAATGGGCATGATGCCAAATTTAAATTATTCTTTAGCTGGATGTTTAATCCTAAAGCCATCTCTGTCCAAGGGCGTGACAGGTAGCAACACCCTTCACCTCTGAGAAGCTGTGCAAGTAATTCTGTAGCAGGAATGATTTCTTGCCAGAGCAGGGTTAGAGTTGTTTGACTCATGGGCAGTTCATACAACTGACCCTGAGCCAAGATGCTAATTCAGAGAGAAAGTGGATTTTCTTGACCAGGAGGGGAAACTTGTGAACAGAGTTGTCCAAGATGTGGGAGAGCAAAAGCCTTTTTATTTGTTTTTTAAATGAGAGTTAGCCACACAGAGCAAAAGATTCAGAGGTGCCTTCGCACACAAGAGCCCTGATTCTTGACAATTACATGGATTTAAATGTAAATTTCT